GTGTAATATATGCCACCATGTCTGCGATAAGTCAGACTTTTTTTCACAGCTTTTGCATAACACTAAATAAGGAAAATAGAGCAAAAATGGACAATTCGAATTTTCTTTGTAACTTTCGTGTCAAATTTGGTGTCTCCTTTGGATAAGCTGTCGAATGGTCCATCACAAGACCACTTTGATTTTAGGGCATTCATTATCCCTTCGTCCGGCTATACCTTTTTCGACAATCTTCACGTACGAATGAAAGATCGATACTTTCGCTGAATAAAGCCACTGATACGAATTTTGCGAATTGTATGTAATATAACGACGCATAAAATAAAAATGTATATCTCAATGTTAGACTCGAAGGTTAATGAATAATTTAAATAGCAATTAAGTTGTAATTTAAATTAAACTGAATGTTTTGTACACGCAGTGCTAATATATCTTGTATTTCCTATTTGATGAACTTTTTTTTAAAGTTTTTTCATTGAATGCAAAGTAAGAAGTTTGTTTATAGTGTTTATATTAAGGAGGGACAATTAAGGAACAAGTAATTCTGTTATATTAAAATTTTGCAGCCTTTAAATATAATTGAATGTTGTATTAGAAATGGAGAATTCAATTGATATTGATATTTATTATTACATACAACCCTGTACTGTAAGGAGAATATGTATTCATACACTGTTTCGACGTTTGTACAATGAATACTTGTTATTTGTTCATTATTAGTTTAAATACAATAGGCAATTCCAACGCAATGCACACTTTTGCACATGGCAATTGAAATCGCTTGAAACCTACGGAAATCTACTGAATGTCACTAAAATCTACCGAAGTCTACTAAATTTTACTAAAATCTACTGAATTCTACAGCCGTCTACTGAAATCTACTAAAATCTACTTACCGAGTCTGAAGCAAGCCTCTTTGCCATAACAAGTTCAGCATAAAATTATTCGGCACACAAAGGTCCTTGCGAAATTATCACGATTCTGAAAAAGAAGTATCACCAAGTATAACCAACACATCTGTACATCTTTGCTAGTATGTGACACTAACTTTTGACGAGGAAGTGTAATTCGAATCATACAGCACTTTCTGCACGAACATAACGGGTGTTTTAATACTTACGAACGACAGTGTACGCAGAAAACCAACTGGGGGATTTGACCTCAGAATCGAAGATGCATGCTCGATGGTGGCTTTCCATGTCCTCCTTTGTCAACGTTCCAAAGGACTATCGGTGTTTGCCAAAAACAGGTCCTCGTCAGGACCTAGCTTTAGAGGATGCACTTCTGGTTGACCTTGACTGATGCAGGTAGGACAGTGTTTCCGATCAGGTTTATGGATCTAAAATTGCAACAATGGTTCTTTACTTGCACCTTGTGCAAATGAACGTGGAATCGACGTGTATCGACTACACGCAAAATATTAATTCAATTTGTTCGTTTAATGTTTACTTACTTAGTTGGTCTCAGTTTCATTGTTTTTGGTCGGTTAGAAATTCACATGCTCACTCATGTTGAACTTGTACAATAGGAGAATTTTCTTAGTGCACAGATTTTCTTGTTTTTTTCGTAGAAGCCTAAGTTGGTATAGCGTAACAAGGAAGTAAGCTGTGGAAGCTGTTGCATTTTTAAAATAGCATTATATTTTTCTTACTTATTGTAGGTCACGTATTAAACTGGTAAGTAAGGTTTCAAGTCAGTATGAAGGAAAATAAAAATTGAATTGAAAATCGGAACGAATAGTAAAAATTGAAATGAAGAAAAGAGAAAATTTGCAGATAGTGCATTATCACCCTCGTTATTTTTCAGAGATAACGATTTATTGTTATTGCCACGCGTCTGCAAATGTTTAATCATTCATCTGGGATTTTTCCCTCGTTTTATTGTAAACAGCTCCTATTTTAACTGGATTAGGATTGTACGCGGAGAATGTACAATACTTTATCAGTAATGACACAAACGACAGAGATTCAGGCGTCGTCAAACAGAAAGATAGAATTCACCATTTTCAACTGTTGATGCGTTGCAAATTTAAAGAAGGTATTCCGAAATGTTTCCAAGCATTAAGAAACGAATTTTATGCACCGTTCTTTATTTATTTGCACAAATAAATAACTGTGACATAATGATAAGGTACAAAATAAATATGAACGAACAAAATTAAATAAATATATATTAATATTGTTGCTTGATCAAATTTCTCTTGCACATAGTTTAAACAATAGACACGTGTCGCAAATATTTAATTAATCTGCAGAAACAGAAAGGGTTTACGAAACTTTACGTTCAAATATTTGATGAGTAATCAACTCAATATCGACCGTATCTCGATGGATGCATCATTTTCGTATCGTGAGTCATTATTTAAGTTGTGTACAATTGATAACGAAAAGTAAACATTAACATAGAGCAAGAAAAGAATGTTACTCTTCCGAAAATGAAGTATCGATAATTATATTGCAAGTTAATTTATAAAGGTGATTTAAATATTGATTTATCCTATACGCATTAGTAAAAGAATATCAAGTATGACAAACCATTCACTTTTGCTATAATAAATTTTATCGTACGTGTAATCTTTTCGACGATATCCTTCATTCCCGCTCTTCAAGATTTCTTACTACAACATTATCATATCACATGCAGCCATTAAATCAGCTTTTTTTTATGATCCAAAGTATACTATGGTAAGCTGAAGTGTTTATTGGATGAAATACGTTTCCTTTGCGTATTTGTGTCAGTATTAAAGAATCTTATTTAACGAACAGTGCATTCTTATATTCAATAAATCATACAAACATATCTCATACATTTTTTGAATTAACAAGCTACTTTTTCCTGGAGAAAATTATCCGAAGAATTTTTTTTTTGGTAATTCAGTACTTTTTACGGAGTCCTATTTTACAATAGAAAAACTTTTTATGGAATTCTATGTTATGATACGGTAAAACGAGCAATTTCAGAAGTGGATTTTTAAACGCAATTCATTTTTCTTCGAATGATACGAACAGATTGTACTTCTACAAGGTTTACCTCCGTGTTTCTTCCTACTATTCCTATTTTTTCTACCTGTAACATAGTTTCCTTTCCCTAATGTTCAATGTTTCCTGTACAACACAGTATTCCATATTTCCATATAAAAACAGAGTCAAGGTTATGACGAAGGATGAGAAATACGTTGTGGAAAATGATTGCGAGGGTGCGGAAGTAATTCATCATTATTCAAGTAATCGCGTTAAGAAAATATTCTAATACAGTTTATTCACATAAAATCAGCGAAAAATCTGACGCATTTCATTTCCCTTTCTGCAAGCGTATTTCGCAGTTTTCAGTCCTTCCCTTATCAATTCTTGCGAAGTTCGATATCAGAAAAGAAACTATTCGAGAATGTACCTGAACCAACTGGAAATCGAATAACAGCTTTAGTTTTACTAAAGCTACAAATACGATAATGAAAATCCGACAGTTACTAGGTTGCTGCAAATGAAATGTCGTTTTTTCAAATAAATTTTTAAGGAAAAAGGAATAGTAAAAATATTCATAACACAATTCTTTCCACATTATTATCTGATAAGATGTATAATTAGGATATTCAGGTAATTTTTTTTTACATAAGGTCATACTTGGAAAAATGGCGATAAAAACTGTTGAAAATATGAATTTACCATTTGAAGAAGGTTATGGAAATGTTAGGACACTTCAAGGTTCGTGTGCAAAATTCAAAATTGGTGGACTTTTCATTGGAAAGTGAGTCAGAAAGAAGGCCAGATAGGGCTGTCGATGATAACATTCTAAGAAACATTATTGAAAACAATCCAAGGTGAAGATTGTCAAATTTTACCTCGCATGTTCACTCGACTGTAAACACCTAAACAATATTTTCAATAAAAATAATTCTCCCGAGGTGAAGAGGCTGTAAAAGCAGCATTCGAAGAATTTTCTCATTCAGATAAATCATCGTAATTAATAATTGGAAGAATGTGTATAGAATCCCGCCATTTCTTCGAACACCTGAAACATATCTGTAACAACAAATTCCGTTCGAATGAAGACACTGTAAAAGTAGCATTCGAAGACTTCTTCGATTTATAAATTTTCAAAGTGTACAGAATCGTGTGAAAATTATTCCCAATTAAACACATTATTTAAAAAAACCAAAGGACAAGTTTCGCATGCACCAAGTTAGGCACACATAGGAAGATCGTGGTTTCAGTTTGCGAGGACTGGCTCAGCTGGAAATCTGGAAACATTCGAAGAAAATCCCTGGCGTGAAACGATCGTAACAATTATAGCGATCGAGAGGTGCGGGTGGAGGTGAGTCTTTTTTTTTTTCCCCCTTTTTTTTGCGTATCGCTCGTGCGATTTACTTCAGCAACCTGTTTCGCCCCACCAGGGCCGAGATTTACATACAAGCTGCAGGTGGCTTTTGTGTTCGCGTGATTTTAACGCGAATTGTAGTTTCGCGACGGGCATGAACGGTGTGTGCAGCTGAAACTACGCTCCGCTCCTCATCGCCTTTACCTGTGCACCACGTTGCAATTAACTCTGCTAGCGCGCAACCGCGACACTTTCTTTTCTCTCTCTTCCTTATCTCTTTCCTTCCTTCCTTCTCTGTGCTTCTTTTCTTCCTCTCTCTCTCTCTCTCCGTCTCTGTTCCTTTTACGTCTGCGAGGAAAAGCTTCTTCCTCTTTTCCGACGTGTCGAACGTTGTCGTTGTGTGTGAGAGTTCGCTGTGACAAGAATTTCGCCGATTTTGATTGACGGAACGAAGGAAACGGCAGCAAGGGGATATTTGATGAGTTCGTCGGTGAAGTACAGAGGCAAGTTTGCGACCGGATTTCTTTGCGTGCTTTTTCCCCACGAGTTTTCACGGTTCTCGTGCGATAGAGTTGAAGCTCGCGGTAGAGGACGAAGGTAGGTTTCGAGGGAATTGTTTCGGGGAGAGAAGGAGGTAGTTTTGAATTTTCGTCGACGGAGTATAATTTGGCTCTCGTGGGAAAGTGTATTAACAGCTGTTAGTACGAGGTAACGAAGAAATTTTGTCTAATTTGGAAGTTGAATTTTGGAAAAATTAATAGCGCGAACGTTCAATGTGATATAGATACATAAAAGTTTGTTGTAAATTTCTTAGAATCACGACGATTACAAAGAATTCACTTTTTTTGTAAATCGTGAACGTTTTCATAAATGTCAATTATTCTCAGAGTTAATGTAACTTTTAAAAAGTTAACAGTGTATTGCGAGAAATTATTTAAAAATTCATTTCATTGGTACAAGTATTGCGGTGAATTAAATAAAAGTTGGTAGTGCGAAGATCTAATGTGATAAGTTGGGGTTTAATTTTTTAAAATAAAAAAACGCCTGATTTGACTTTGTATAGCACTGCCACTTGGTAATGACGCGGTTAGTTAACATTCATCGTTTCTGTGATTACAGCAGCCTTTTATTTCAAACAGTACCTGAATGTTCATTTTTGCAACGTAATCTTGTAATGTGGGCAATTTTCAAGCAAGGTAAATTAGTAGTTGGAATGGACATAAGTTATTAATGTTAATCTCATTAAATAGAGGAATGTGTCTACTTTCAAAGTAACGGATTGGTTTTTTGTCATATGTAAATTCGGTTCGTTGTATTGCTTGAAATATCTGAACATGAGGTGTGGGGTAATGCCAGTCAGCTTTTAACATTGCAAAGAATTAAAACAAAGTAGTTTATATTTACATAACATTTACAGTAGTTATCATTTTTATCATATTTACGTTATTTTAAGTTACGGTTTTCCAAATGAAAATATTTCCAGGTTCTAAGCAAGTTAAAAGCAAGAAATCCGCAAAAAAAGTGAAACCACTGCTGTTTTAGTAATAAAATTTTTGATTAATTTAACAGTTTTCTTACCTCTATTATAAAGAAAAGGCCTTTTTCGGTTTTATGTTTCTAATTTTATTACAACGTAAACTTACGCCTTCTCGACCACACTAATACAAACTAGACACTTCAAGCTATCAATTAATATAAAAAAACTAACAAATGTGTAACTTGTTCGAATTTTATAGCATTTCCTGCTTATGTAGCCGGAATTATCCGAAATTACAAATTCGTCGAACTACGAAGAATGAATTTTTCTGTAAAATCAAGAACACTTTTCAAAATCATCTTCCTAAATGTCAATTATTTTCATCGTACCTGCTGTTCGTATACGTGAAAAGATGATCGGCAATACGTTACGCTTACAGTTTTCGCGAATTGTGCGCAAAATCGTCGCGTGTGATGAGTTTCAAAGGAACTAAGAATCGAGTGAATTTTGAAAATGAGAACGTAAATCGGTAAATTGAAAATCTTTCAGCGGTGAATTTCAAGGGAACCGAGTATCGCGTCAGTTTGAAATTTAGAACGCTAACTCGGCAAACCAAAAAATTTCGCGAATTGCGCGCAAAATTATTGCGCGTGGTGAATTTCGAAGGAATCGAGAATCGTATAATTTCGAAAATTTCCAACGAAAATCGAGAAACTAAAAGTGAAGAGACATTAACATTGGAAATGTGAGAATATAGAAACGATGTCGCTACTAAAGATAAGTTCGCGAGGAATCAACGCGCGAATATTGTTTTTCCCTTCCGTTTATCACATTCGTCATGAACTGAACTGAAAAGCGAGGAAATCACGTAGTGTGCAGCGTGAATTTTTTCAAAAGTCACGTAAAATTTAGCTTTCTCGCCTCGGTGTATGTCTCCTATTGGATTCACAAGATCGTTTACACAAACAAGCGACTTTCCTTTGTAACGAACATTGTCCACTTGAAACCGGAAATTTTTATTGTCAAACATTCCCCGTACACGTGTTTCCGGATTAAATTGCAGAATTTTTATCGACAATTGAAATCTACCAAAAATACTGAGCTTTCATCTGAGAATAATGTACACCAGTGTCATAAAACAATTTTGACGTGAAAAACAATTATTTTGAATGAAGACCATAAACGTTTAGTTTAGGAAATAATTTAAACGCGTATCGAGAATTGAAACTTGATTAATGCTGGAACAATTTTTTACGCGGTTTTCAAATTTAAATTGTAAAAATGTCCAACTTCAATTTGAAGGGAATTTTACAGTGATATTATTAAAAAACCTTATCTTATGTGAAAAGCAATTATTTTGAATGAAAACCATTTCAAGTAGCACGTTAATAGTTTACGAGATAATTTTAATTTTATGCACACGATGAGTGAATTTTCATTTGTGAAACTCTGATAAATTGTCGGGAAGTTCGAACTGCTCTTCAGTATCACGTTTGGAAATGTTTGAACAACTTCGTAGTTTCGTGCAGTCTTTTTATTGCCGCGTAAATTTGCAGGATAGGTTTTAACCCAAATTCACTTCAAATTGCTTACAAATTTTTTATAGAAAGTATATAAGAGAAATGAATTATTTACTAATTAATTTTTGGTAATCCTACTAATTATGTATTTCTTGCATAATTGTCATATTAACTGTTTTACATTGTATTTTGTTTTTATTTTGTACATCAATGTTCTAACGAGGTATTAGTTCTTGAAAAATTCTTAAAGAATATTCAATACTCGTTAAACTTACGATAGATGCATTTATTAATACTAAGTGCTTCCTCATGTTTTGCATGTTTTCACGTGAAAGTAATAGTCCTGGCTTATATAGAAGACCAAATGCATTAAAAAGTAGATGTCAATGTGTAATTCTGACCTTGTATAATACAATAAAAATTACCATAATATCACGAGAAATGTAATTAACACTAATTAAATATAATTAATTTTCAAGGAAAACGCGTTAAAATTTTTTTTATATCGACGTTTCATTAGTACCTATTACTACTTAGTACGTGGTTCCATTACGAAATATCAATTTTAATAATCGTGAAAACAACGTCAATTTTCGATTTTACTTTAATTTTTTTTTTTAATTTTTATTTTACCATACTTTTAACCGAGTGTCGATCGTAACAATCGCAATATTAACCTAAATTTCATTTACACTTTATTTGTTGTTTTTATTAAACCTGCTTTCTCTTTTGCTCGGTTTAATTTTACTTTCTAGTTCACTTTCAGTTTCAATTTCAATTGCTATTTCGTACTTAACACCGTTCCTCGTTTATGTTTCGAACACGTATTCTAATTTCCAGGGAAACTCAAATACAAATCATCCAGACTATTTTAATGTTTTCTTCTATGTACATTAACAAGCGATATTGCTTCGATTACTATTAATCAAATAGCTCGTTTAACTGCTTTACGTAACGACCAGATCTTCGAACTTGATGACAGAAAAAATTGTTATTCGATGCGAATGAAAATTTCGCAAAATTTTTTATACGCTACTCTGAAATATAAAGAATTCGTGACATCTGATTCTGGAACACGTCGAAATCTAAAAAGAGAAACTACAAAATCAGCAGTGTAAATAATGTTAATGTAGATTTCAAAAATTTTCTGATAATCGCGATTAAAAATATGATAAGTGAGTTATAAGTTATGTCCATTTGAATAAAATTTCTAATATACTACTGTATAGGAGCGAAAAATATATATGTAGATAATTTATCGCATTTAGATTTTACCTTATTATTATCCTCGTATCAGGGTATTATTATTTATTTTTTGCTTCTTATCTTCATCTATTACACCAAATTATCACACTATAAGTACAGTAGAAGTTGATTATTTTTCATTATTTTCAATGTACAGTAGAAGTTGATTAGTTTTGATTATTTTTAACTATTACTATTAAAGGGAAATATACATATACTTGCTCGTCATCTCTCAGTAAATTAAAAAAAAATTATTCATTATTACATTCTGCAACTTAATCGAATCATTCAATCAACTCGGCACAATCGAAACGTATTTTTATAAATACCTTTTCTCACTGTTGTAGCTTCAAGAAATTCCTCCAATCGACTAACAAACTCCAGAATATCGGTCATAACATGTGATTATTATGCGAGATTTTTCTGGAAGTCCCAGGTGAAAATCTAGGTAACCGTGACTGCGGTATTCATAGATCGATATACAACGATTATTCGACGATAATCGTTCTCATATGATAAACACATCCACCAGCGATGGAAGGATAGTTGGTTTATTAATATTTATTTCTGTCGACACTTGAATAAGTTGCCATACTTCTCCTCGCTGTATCACGGAATTTTCCCTCGTTATCGATTGCATTCGTTCGATTTGCTGCCTCCCTGATGTATAGCAAACAATCACGCTCGCTACGAAATCATGCTACTATTATATTTGATACCAAAGGACGCGTGACCCTTTCGCTGCGGCACTTTTCGCTTGGCAGACGATACATATTTAATAAGTTTTGAAATTTTCATTTCAAAATTAAAAATTTCTGGTTTTTCAGTTTCTTTTATTAAATTAAGGTAGAAGTGCGCAAGGGACAAAAATGAAGGATTAAATTAAGGTGAAAGTGTATCGAAAGGCGGCAGGGGCACAAAAGGGGAAATTTTCAAAGCGCCAACAGCAGTGAAAGGGTTAATTTTGGGGCGAAATTTTGTTCTTCGCCTCTACGCGCGCTGTAATTGGCCAGTGTTTTTCGTTAATAATTCAAAAACGAAGCTTCAAACTGTATTTTGGAAAAGGAAAAAGTTGTTCAGAGTCACCCCAGCAACCCCCCATTTCCGGGTGTTCGAGGAGTTACGGGACACCCTGTATATTTAGCCCAATATCTCGAAAACTATTAGAGATAAAGAAATAGTGTGAATTGGCGAATTTTGCATTCTCCGAGAACAAATTTGAAAAATAAAAAATGGTACATAATTCTGACCAAATTACTCTCGTATTTGAGAGCGATTTTAAATAAATGAGTTGAATAAATTTTATAATTCATAATAATAACAACTGAATAACAAAATCTTGAATCCACAGTTTAACTGAATTTTAAATCACACTGGCAAACAGCACTTATATTTAATTTCCAACAATATCCTAGTAAAACTGTGATAAAAATAATACATATAAAAGGATAAACCCGAAGGAGTTAAGTAAAACGGTAAACGTGGAAATACCTGCAGGAATATTTTCTCAATTCGGTGTCAGTTATTCGAGGAATTTGCTACTAGAGGAAATCATTTTAGAACAAGTCAAACACCTTGTGTTTACTATACCTCTTGTATAGATACAAGGAAGTAAGAAACAGTTAATATAAACAGGTATTGAATCTTGAACACTGTTGTGCACGTTAACTCTTCAGTCGGTCCTTGTTCACCGTCACATCGACGTTACAATTAGTCACAGTTAAACTTGTTTCAGTGTCGTAAATTGTCACATTGTTCAAATTCTAATAACACGTTATTTACATAATTACGTAAATTTGTCTCGTTTCGTTATTTCGAAGAAGTAACAACTTTCCTACTACTTAGATATTACGATTACATTATAATTTCACTATAATTGCCGTAATTAGTTAATTTGGTAATACGTTACGATATATAGTAAGATCTCGAAAGTTCTTCGTCAGAATTTTTCATTCATTCGTTTCGACACACGAACCGTTCCTTTCACATTTATTTATTTATTTATTCTAAAGAATTTTAACGTGAAACGGTATGCAAATCATTTCGTTACTGCAGTAATAAATATTATTATCGTTTTGTGACATTTGCACAAATCAGGATTTAACGATATCTTATGTTTTAAACGTTTGGAGAAGCTGATCGAAGGGTGGTGAACGATCGTGCAAAATCGAGTAAAGTTTTACAGTGAATATTGAGTAAACAATTATGCTTACAAAGTTGTTTATAATTTCAATTTTTTATTTACAAACACTCGTCTGCAGAAAAACAGAAATTTTGATACACGTAGCTGTTCTGTAAATTGAAATAATTATCATGTTACTGCTTGTTATATCGACAATAATTAAGTATTATAAATGAGTTGCGTGATATTACGAACTGGTAGATAAATCTATTATAATTGAATTTAGTTGAAAACGTAATCTGCTGCCTTTAATTTCGCTTGTCGAACAAATGTTTATGTATGTTTACTTTCATTCGTTTAGTCGAATATATTTATTCGTGTACTTATCGCTTTTTCGAGCAATTTATATTCTTGTACCTACTTTTTATCTTTATGTTTTATTCTTATCTTCGATATACACAGGACACTTATTAACTAACCTTCTGAAGTGAATTTAAAATTTTGCACGAAGTGATGATA